CGCACTCAGAGTAAGTCCCTTTGTCGCCCTTGCGCAGTATGCACTTATGCTTACGCCCTGTATAGCTAATCCCCCGTGTGTATTAGGTTAGATCTATACAGCGTGCTCTTTCCCTTCGCACTCAGACTAATCCCCCGTGTGTATTAGATCGTGCCCGCGTGCCACTCGCCAGTTCGCGCTCGCGCAGCCCAGTCGTCGTATCACGACAATAGGTTATGAGCCCCGGCTTGTAACTGGCCCCCATCTACCCTCCATCCCTCACGAGTCTTCACTCGGAGAGATCCGGCACCAGCCGCACACTAGCTCCATAACACCTCAGGGTCTTTACCCCAAGTGTTACTCCACATCGCAACACGGACACTAGAGATCCTCTAGTGCATGTCTAGTCCATCTGCATTACGCCCACCTTCACCAACTGCACCGACACCTGCACCTGCACCGGCACCCCGTCCTACACGTCGCACTCCCGCCGCTCCTACTACACCCTCTCAATCCGCGTCAACCGCACCCCGCCGCACGACAACAATGTCCTCCGCCTCCGCGTTCGCGTCAGCCACCGGTCCGCCGTCGATGAAACTTGACGCGATCGGGAAGCTCAAAGGTTCCAGTGACTACCCACGCTGGTCCCTGATGATGCAGCAGTGCTTTATTGCTGCATGCGCATGAAAGGTCGTCGATGGCACCGAGAGAGCCCCTGTCCCAAGCAGCTCCGTCTCCGCTGCGGACATCGAAGCATGGGAGACGCATACGCGAGGTTCTACATCCTCAGCACGCTCGGCGACAAGCTCCTGCACCTCGCGAACCCAGTGGACATTACAGCCGCCGCACTGTGGAAGAAACTGAAGGACAACTACGCCGCCTCCACCACGATGTCGGCATTCGTCAAGTTCCGCGCGTACTTCTCGCACGCGATCACGGACAGCGATGACCTCGCTGCCCAACTCGACGAACGCGCCCGACTCTGGCAAGAGGTCAGTGCCTCCGGGATCCTCCAAACCCCGGAGCTCCTGCAGATATTCGGCCTGCTCACGGCCCTCCCCGACTCGTTCAACAACGTCGTGGAGCCCATCCTCGCAGTCACCAAGCCCGCCGACTTGAAGCTCGACGACATTCGCAACCGTCTCCTCGACGAAGCGAAACGTCGCAGCTCCTCCACCAACGTCGCCGCCTTCCACGCACCGAAGGCGTCTACCTCAGGCAAAGCCAAAGCTGGCAAACCTGAGGGCAAGAAGGGCAAGTGCAACTTCTGCCACTACAAAGGCCACTACGAGCAGGACTGCAGAAAGAAAAAGGCTGCCGCCGAAGAGGCGCGGAAGGGCAGCAATGGCAAGGCCCAGGACGGTAAAAGTAATCCGTCCGGTAGTAGTACTGGTCATGCATCTGTACATGTAGTCACCGCCGAAGGAGCCACTGCTTCTGAGGCCGAAATTCACTCCGCTTCCTGGTATCTCCACGGTGTGAAACGCTGGATGTTAGACTCCGGCTGTACACGACACATTACAAACGACCTGAACGACTTCGCTGAGTACACCACCTTCGCGTCGCCTACATACGCAACACTAGCAGACAAGGCGAAAACGCAAGTAAGCACGCTCGGTTCAGGTGTTGTCGAGGGCACTACGCTTGTCGACAACAAACCAGTAAACATCAGGCTAGAGAACGTTCTCTACAGCCCTGCAATGTCCGGACGGCTAATCTCCGTCTCATGCATCGAAGACAAAGGCTTCGATCTCGTCTTTGGGAAAGGACGAGCCCAAATCAAGCGTGGTAACACCACGTTTGGCATAGGCATTAAGTCCCGCGGTCAGTATTGGTTGGACCTTACTCCACCTCCACCATCTGTCGCGGTCTCCACGCACAACGCCACTTCGCTCGACGTTATCCACCATCGGTTTGGTCACCTGAACTGGGAGGCAGTACGCAAGCTCGCCGCTGCTGATTCCTCTCCGGTCAAAGGCCTCATCGCCGCCGATATGGATAAACCTTCGCATCCCTGCGAAGGCTGCGTCTTGGGCAAAGCACACAGGCGTACATTCCCCACATTGTCCACCTCACGCGCCAATAAACCCTTCGACCTCATTCACTCTGACCTCGACGGACCTATGTCGGTGGTGTCCATCACGGGCCACCGATACTTCGCTACCTTCATCGACGACTGCTCCGACGTCACATGGGTCTACTATCTACGAACAAAGGACGAGTTCCTCTCCGCATTCAAAGACTTCGTAGCCCTCGTCGCGCGACAGTTCGACACGGTCATCAAGGTCTTTCGGTCAGATCGAGGGGGTGAATACCAGTCCAACGAGTTCATCAACTTGTTGAAGAAATCTGGGATCATCCACGAGCACACGATACCCGGTACCCCACAGCAAAACGGCAAAGCTGAGCGCATGAACCGCACGCTCGTAGAAGCCGCTAAGTCAATGCTACAAACCGCCGGGTTATCACACGGATTCTGGGAAGAAGCTGTTCGCACAGCTGTGCACGTATGCAACAGAGGCCCTAAGAAAGCCATTGCATGGCGTACGCCCCTGGAACGACTCACTGGCACCACACCGGACGTGTTCCACTTCCGAGTCTTCGGTTGCCAGGCCTATCGCCATATACCTGGGGATAAACGCAAGAAACTCGACGCTAACGCTGAGAGTCTAGTGTTTATCGGCTACGAGACGAATTCTAAAGGTTATCGTCTATGGGATAAACGTAGCAGAAAGATCACCACGAGTACTGATGTGATATTCAACGAGTCGATCTTCCCCAACAAACTCCTACCCTCACCGTCCTCGACACAACCGACCGGATCTACATCCACGCTGCCGTCATCTGTCGAACTCGAACTACCACCCCTTAACACGCCACCGGCTCCTACGCAGCCGCCACAGCCTGTACCACCTCCTACTCAACCCATCACACCAAAACCGCCTACAGCATCCCAGATACCACGCCTTACACCTCGAACAGAGTTGTATCCAGCTCCGCCAATCCCGCCAAGTGCACCGGTCAAGCCTGAATTCAAAGGCAAGACCAAAGCCTCACCATCTCGCGTCGTCGCCCCTCCGCCACTCAAGCCAAATCCCAACACTACCTCATGGGACTACAATCCCTTCACCAACCCTGAGCATGCCACGACGTCATCAGGCGTCCGCCGCGGTACCCGCAAGCGAAAAGCAACTCAGAAATGGACGAGTATTTGGCCCGGAGCGATCGAAGCGGACATCGAGGAAGCACTAAACACAGGCAAGGAACCGGGCGACATCGCTGCGATTGTAGGCGACTCCTCCATCGCTGGAGAGTCGCGAACCTACAAACAAGCAGCCGATGCACCGGACTCAGCGGAGTGGATGACTGCCATGCAGGCCGAAGTCACCGGCCTCCTGGAACAAGGCACCTGGGAACTTGTCGACCTACCTAAGGATCGCAAGGCGATCAAGTGCAAATGGGTATACGTTGTCAAGCGCAACGAGAACGAAGAAGTGGATCGCTACAAGGCAAGGCTCGTAGCCAAGGGGTTCACGCAAGTTCAAGGCATCGACTACGAAGACACCTTCGCTCCCGTCGCCCGTCTGGAATCCTGGCGATACCTCATCGCCCTAGCGACTATCCAGGACTGGGAAATCCATTAGATCGACTTTGATAGAGCGTATCTGAACGGAGAACTCGACGAGGAGCTATACATGGAGCAATCTGAAGGTTTCGTAACGGACGCAGGCAAAGTATGCCGCCTGCGGAAAGCAATATACGGGTTAAAGCAAGCGGGACGAACATGGTTCCTCATGCTCAAAGCCTGTCTCGAGGACATTGGGATT